GATTGTGCTCTTACAGTCTCACTGCTCAATTCTCTGCCATTTAGGAGTTAAATCACTTTACGCAGCCCTAGTCACACCTGCATGTGACATATGCAGCCTTCCTAAACACTTCCTGCAAAGAGAGATCTAATGTTTACACTTCCATTACTGCACAGTCTGTTTAATTTAGATTTGCTTATCTCCTGCACTGTTAATTGGTTTGCTACAACTTGCAGGAGCAAGTGATATCTAATGCTTAACAGATATTTTGCTTATATTTACATTCTTAATTTAATGCAAATTCTGTTTAATTTAGAATTTTGTGTCTCATGCTCTGTTAATAGCTTGGCAAGAGACACAGTCAAGGTATCTTTTTTGATATCTCATTAATTAATTTATGATATTTAGCAGTCATATCCTTGCCTCCAGTTCTTGACATTATATTCTCAAATACCTCAATAGCACTGAAATAATTATCCATAGAGAGACATTTCATCAAGTAAAATTTAAAGGGACACTGTAGATACCCAGACTATTTCAGCTCATTGAAGTGATCTGGGTGCAGTGTCCCTTTTGCACCTAGTGCTGCAATGTCTACATTGCAGCACTGAGTCAGTCTCTAGTGGCTGCCTACCGGCTTCTTGAATCGAAACAAACCTTTGGTCTGCATATTGTCACGTATTCATCTGCACATAAAAATGTGGTTAATGGCATTTACTGTCCTGACAAGAAACGTTGTGCCGAGAAGCAATCAATCCACAGGAGGGTTTGTGCTGAGCAGCAATCATGCAAATAGGAACCTGGTACCTGCCTTTGGAGTTAAAGGCCGTTTACAACCAATCAGATCCACAGGCAGGGTATTTAGGCCAGTTCTCCTCTTGCTCTGTGCTCTGTTGTGGTTTCCCTTGTGGTTGTCCGAGAGCGTGTTATTGATTCTGTTTTTTCTGGTTATTTGACTTTGACATTAATATTGACTTAGCTGTTTTCTGGCATCCCTGACCCCTGGCTTTTCCTTATCGTTGTGTCTCTTTGTGTATCCCTTGACCTCGGCTTTTTTTGACTATTCTTTGGTACGTTAGTCTGGCCATTCTAAGGTCCGCTATACGTTACCTATCAGTCCTCTGTGTTACACAATTCTACGTGCTGGATCATACGGTAATCCTGACACATATGCTGCGCATGCTCATTAGCTCATGCTCATTACGGGATGTCGGTGGGGGCGGAGGTAAGTAAATAAAAGTTTTTTTAACCCTCTATTTACCCAGTTGGGTGGGGGAGGGGTATGTGAGGGAGGGGGAGGCAGAGGGAGTGATAATATTCCTGGCACTTTAGTATCCTTTTAATTCTTAGGTATTTAAAAATGTCATTGTTAGACTGTCCAAAATCAATTCTCAATTGATGGTACAATTTATATCTACCTGTTGTATAGATATCTCTGTAGTCTACCAAGCTTTATATATTGTACAGGTATATTTCTATTGTGCCCAGTTCCAAGTATTATATCTCTAGTTTTTCTCAGCTCTGTTTGTTGTATGGTTATCTCAGTATTGTACTCAGCTCTTTATGCTGTGCCCAGCTTGATTTATTGTATGAGCATATCTGTTTTATGCTCTCTGTATTGTAAGAGTATATCTGTACTGTATAGGGAGAAGTAAAATTCTGGGAAAGAAGTCTGTTGACCCACCATCTTAAAATTCACCAGCTGCCACTAGATACGGTAAGCACATTAACCATAAAATGCTTGAAATAATTAAAAATTAAATATAACTGTACTTTTGAGAGAAATTTCAGTATAAACCTAAAATTATCCAAAAAACAATTTACTTAATGTCTCTTATACAGCCAGACAAAAGGAAGGTTGAACAGAATTATATTAATGCTTCTGGACTTCTTCTGGCCAGCTTTTGTACAGTCTGCCAAGTGTGGATAAAATATATAATTTAGCATTTAATGTGGAGAGTGGGATTTACCGAAGTGCTTTTTCAGACTTAAAGTATTTGCAGGAAATTAATTAAGGCTTATGTCAGTTTTTGCACAGAACACCGGGCTGATCTTGCAGGAGTCATCAAAACTCAGATACTTCAAAGAAAGCAGCATATGTATCGTCTAATATCTAATTAAAGGCAAGCCTACCTACAGGTTTGTATATAAATATATCTACAGGTTTGTATATATACCTCATCATGCTGAATGCAATATCAAATGACAATAATTTTGTGCATTTCTAACCAGGGCCTGTGCAAGCATTTTCGCCGCCCTAGGCAAAAACATTTTTGCTGCCCCCACTCATGCAGACTAACACTCATGCTGACTCAAGTATAAACACACATAGATCCATGCAAACTAACGCACACACTGACCCATATATACACACTGATCCATGCAGAGACACACATATAGACACACACTGACAAATGCAGACACACACACAATGAACCATGCAGACACACAATGACCTATAGAGACACACACTGACCCATACAGACACACAGTGACCCATGCAGACACACGCTGACCCATACAGACACACACTGGCCCATGATGACACACAATGGCCCATGCAGACATACACTGATCCCTACAGACACACACCGGCCCATGCAGACACACACTGATCCCTACAGACACACACTGACCCATGCAGACACACACAATAACCCATACAGACACACACTGATCCATGCAGACACACACTGACCCATGCAGACACACACACTGACCCATATACACACACTGTTCCAAGCAGAGACACACATATAGACACACTGACAAATGCAGACACACACACAATGAACCATGCAGACACACAGTGACCTATACAGACACACAGTGACCCATGCAGACACATAGTGACCCATGAAGACACACAATAACCTATACAGACACACACACACTGACCGATAAGGACACACACTGACCCATACAGACTGACATACACAAACATTCTGACTGAAGCAGACTATCATGCATTCTCTGAGACACATCTTACCTCCATTGCAGTTCCTATGTTCACTGCTCCTGGTGGCCCATCACTTTCTGTCTTAGCCCTCTGTTATCCTCCCACCCACTTGTCCCCCACATACAGGGGAAGGGGTGAGAACGAACAATTGAAGCGCCCTCGCACTGCTTCAGCATTGGATGCCTGGGAGGGGGTCTGGCTCTGAGGGCTGACCTGGATGCTGCCGGACCAGTGTTCTACCGGGTGCTCCCTAGCGTCCGGTAACATGGCCGGCGGCACACTCGAAATAATAGAGGGTCGGTCGCAGAGCAAACTTGCACATAAAGTCAGTTCCGCCCCCCCCCCCCCTTAAGCAGCACCCTAGGCGGCCTCCTAGTTGGCCTATGGGGAGTGCCAGCCCTGTTTCTAACTAACTGTGCAATTATTTTATTCAGCCATACATTATTTGTATTGACATTAAGCTGTTTAGGTGACACTCAACAAACCATTACTACTAAATGCATTTTGGTACAATGAGCTCCCTGTCCTGCTCCCTCAAATCCACTTCATTATAGGCAGTGGTGTATCCTGGTTTTGTGCTGCCCTAGGCAGGACAAAACTCAGGCACCCTCCCGCGCCACCTCCACCCGCGCAACCGCCACCCAACCTTCCCCCCTGCTCCGCCTTCTAAATACACACACACACATTCACTGACAGATACGCATTCACTAGCTAACAGAAACACACAGTCACTAACAGACACACACACTAAGACATTCACACTAACAGACATCCACACTAACATACATACACTAACATTAACATACACACTAACACTAACAGACACACACACTAACACTAACATACACACACCACTAACATACACACACTAACATTAACATACACACACCACTAACATACACACACTAACACTAACATACACACGAACAGACACAAACACTAACAGACACACTAACAGACTTCCACACACACACTAGTGTTTTTTTTTATTTAACCCCCCCCCCCAGCCTCCTTACCTTTGGTAATGCTGGGGGGGGTTCTTCCTCTCCCTGGGGTCCAGTGGCTGCAGCGCTGGGCGGGCGGCCGGCCGAGGGAGCTCTTCCCCTGAGCGCTCTGCTCTGCTCAGCTCCCTCGCGCGCCGCCAGCAGAGTGAGGCTGGGAGCCGGAATATGACGTCATCAACCCGGCTCCCAGCCTCACTCTGCTGGCGGCGCGCGAGGGAGCTGAGCAGAGCCTCAGGGGAAGAGCTCCCTCGCCGGCCGCCCGCCCAGCGCTGCAGCCACTGCCGCCCAGCGCCCAGAATGTCTGTTAGCCGCGAGGCTAACAAGACATTTGCCCTGGGCATTTGGGGGGCGGCGTTTTTTGCCGCCCCCTGAAAAATGCCGCCCAAGGCAAATGCCTTGTTTGCCTCGCGGCTAACACGCCCCTGATTATAGGTCTAGTAAATTGCATTTGCTGTAAGATTGGATCCATATCTTTGACACCAAAGATGATTCTCATTCACCTGTACAACAAAGTAGCACAATAATCATGCTTCTGCAAAAAGGGTAACAATTCTTGCATGTTTTACTTTGAATAGACATAATTTTATTATTTTCTCAGTTTCTCCATGGCTTTATTACAGAATAGGAAGTTCATCACAGTAGGTAAGCAGTGGGCCAAACCGATCCCTCTGCTCACAGACTATTCAGTTTTAAAATTGAACCTGTAGGAACTGTTTTATATGAGGCATGACTGGACTGGAAAAACAAAGGAATACTAGGCAGAGGTTGCATTCTTTGAAGAAATTGCACAAGTGGAAGCACCTGATTTTAAAAGGAAAATTTGTAATGTCAATATTTCTAATTTGTTTCAATCACTAACTCCTTAAAAAGGTCCTTGAATGCTCATCCATATATTCCCTAATAGTTAGTATTGCTATTAGGGATGTGCATGGGAAAAATATTTGATTCGGTTCGGCATTCCGAAATTCGAGATTCAGCACTTAGGAAATTCGGCACTTCGCGACTTCGGTTCGGTTCGGTACTTCAGGACTTTGGAACTTCAGGTAAGTGTAGGGTTAGGGTTGGTTTAGTGTTAGGGTTGGGTTAGGAGCAGGGTTAGGGGTAGGGTTAGAGGTAGGGGTTACCCTACCCCTACCCTAACCCTACCACTACCCTAACGCTACCTCTAACCCTACTCCAACCACTAACCCTAACCCTACCACAATCCCTAACACTACCTCTACCCCAACCACTTACCTTACCCAACCCTTAACTCTACCCACTAACCCTACCATAACCCTACCCCAACCCCTAACCCTACCTCTACCCAACCCTACCCTAACCCTACCCCAACCCCTAACCCCTCCCCAACCCTACCCAACACATTTCACAAATCTGAAGCACTTCGGCACTTCTGAAATTCGGCACTTCAGCAGTTCGTTTCGGCATTTCAAAATTCGCTTCGGAAATTCGCCACTTCGGAAATTTAGGCTCGGCATTCCGAAATTCGGCACATCGGCATTTCAGAAATTCGACAATTCGGCACTTTGGACATTCGGAAGCATCTGAATGTCCAAATTTCCGAAACTCATCCGAATTTGAATTCGGAACGAAATGAATAACACATGTCTAATTGCTATGTCTGACCACTGATGGTCAGAAGACTTTGATGTTAAGCTTCATAAAAGAAGGAACCGTTTGTGGTATGTTTAACCAAGAACTCAATCAATACAGTTTCATAATGAATATGTTACATTAATGCCGGTGTATCTGATGAGTAGATAGATCATGTGGACTCCCCACATAGATGTAACAACTCCCACTGAGATTCCAGTTTATGGTTTCTGTTCTTGTAACTGCAGTCCAGCATAAGAAGCAAAATTTAAGGTATACAATTCTAAAGCCTTGCAAAAAAAAAAAACCCAATGAGAAAGTTACTACTAAATGGTTAGAATATGCTGATCAACGTGGAAATATTGTTGGTCTAAATCTGTGTTAAATCAAGAGAGCAAGGAGAAAAAAGAGTGAAACCCATGTGCAGGCTGAAAGGGACACTCTAGGCACCCAGACCACTTCAGCTCATTGAAATGGTCTGGGTACAATGTTCCTATTGCACTTAGAGCTTTGCAGCACTAATTCTGCTTCCAATGGCTGTCTACCAAGCAGCCACTAGAGGCACTTCCTGGATGTTAACTGACTTTTGGTCTGCATGAGGACATCCAGTGTCAATTATTTCCCCACATGAAAGTAATGATTCAATGCTTTCCTATGGGGAGACTTGATGCATGCGCAGCATTCGCTGCACATGTGCATTAGCGCTCACTCGTCGAAGGATGTCGGAGAGGGCAGAGCCGCAACCCAGGGCAGAAGTACATCAGCACTGGGATCTGGTCAGTAAATAAAGGGTTTTGGACTATTTATTCACTATGTCACGTGGGGGGGATGAGGGGGACAAGGGAGGGGGTGGCATAGGCAGCTAATGTACTAACTATATATCCCTTGAAGACTAATAAAGGCAATGTGCAATCTGAATGCTAATCAAAATTGTGGGAGGTCATGGAGCTTGACTCTGAGAAATTCACAGTCAACAAAGATGTTGCACATGACATCTGCAGTGAAAAGCTGTAACCATCATTATGGTCTGTGCAGATTTCTTTTGAAACCCCAAAAATATTATCAACCATTCCATTTGATTCAGAGAGGGCTAGAAGTGTATCTATAAGGAAAAAATAGATATTGCTATACATGGGTGCAATTTTTTCACAGTAGTAATTGTTCCTCACCACAGAATTTTCATTTATAAACTTAGTATATTAATGGGTTGGTATATACTTAATTTGAAAGATCACTCACCAAACAATACTGAGCATAAACCAAAACAGGAAAAACATATTTAGGGGGAAAAAATTGAATTACTTTTGTTAAACATATATCCTATTTGGCATCCTCTGTACAATATCACTAACAGACTGGATAGCTTGTACATATTGACTAGCAAGCAATGTTGGGCTAGGCTGGCTGACCCCGTTAGTAGGTTTGCAATGGATTTTTTCACTTTGAAGAGAGGGTAATTAATATCTGATGTCTGTGTTTTCACAGCTCAATGAACATATTAACACAAAACCGGTGAATTACTGAAATGTCTCTTTTGGGAATAAATTAATTTTACACTTATATCTACTTACAGTTATATTTTAATTATGCTCATCAAAAGCAATTTTCAACTTTATCTATTTATGCTTCCCTTTTGCATGTCAGAAAACTAAAAGCATCATGACAAAGGTAAACAACTGGGAGTTGGATTCACACATTTCTGTGCATCTTATTAAAAAAGTGTAAAAAGTGCCTTATTTTTTTTTTAATCTGTTCCGAATTTTCCAAAAGCCCAAAGCAAAGTCTCATATTTCATTAAAAAGAAAAAGGATTTGACTCATATTTATGTAAAACAGCATAAATTGTCTCAGTATGTTAAACACATGATTCACTTTTTAATTTTATAGTAAACTTCCATTCGTTCATTTTATTGTCTAGAATGCTTTACTGTTGAATGGGAAACTCTTTAAAAATGTAGGAACATCATTCCTTTGTAGGATTTTCTGATTTTTAGTGTCGGACTGTTGCCATTTGCTGCCACCAGTGCAGCCATCAGTACCACCTCTACAACTCAAACTACTGTGAGGAGTCAAAATCTGAGGTCAAATAACTCACAACTGTCGAATCCTTTGAAAGGATTGTATTACATATAGTGGTACAAACAAAATTAAATACGGCTTGGACAGGGATGGAACTTGACTACAGATATTTGGATAGTAATAGTTGATATGATAATTGGTACACACATGCTATGTTGCCTCATGCAACACATCTTCCATTACCCCAAATGCCACCATTTCTACATATAGTGTCATAGTCTAATAACCAATTCTAAAAAGGATAATTTGACTCAACTCTAAACATTTATATAGCTACCTAATATATATCACTTGAAATTTCAGATAGTGAAATTTGCGCTAAATTTTCTTTTTTTTAAAGGAATTATGGCTGATGACGGATAGTTGAGCTAAAGATATATGTACAGAAACATGGCACTTCCTAATCCCTTATACTAGAAACGTGCACCAAGACTGCATGTATACGAAGATCTTAATTTATTGGATTGAAAGTAAATTACAAAAGTGACACTTAATTGCTTGCAAATGATATTGATTTAAAACAAGATGATTGTAAACTTATTTCAAGGCAAACAGCACTCCCTGCTGAACCATTTCATAACAATATGTAATACATGAGCATGCATTTATATATACAAATGCAATAATGTAATTAGGCATTAAAGATGACTGATGGCTCCGGTGAAGTTTTTTCATGACAATCTGAACTGCCCAAATGGATAGAATTACAAAAAAAACTTTCTTATTTGCACAGTATTCTGACATTTTTAAACTCTGCCTGCAAAGGACTTCATTTCTGTTTAAACAAGCAGAATAATTTGGAAAGAATAATTCTGCTTCACGTATCTGAAAACATGTCTTCTCCTTCAAAGAAGATGATGTTTTAAATTCTAGACTTAAAAAATGCAGAACTAGGCTGGGCAGCTGTAAAAAAAAACGAAGGCTCTGGAAAGGCTCTTTGCTAAATTTTAAAGTAAATACAAGTCTGTAGTATATTTTTGTCACTTATTTATTTTCTAAAAAATGTATAACAATCAATTTTTTAAAAGTGAAATAAAATATAATAATTTGCATAGTAATATCAAAACATCTACGATTCACTGATAGGTGAAGCAATTTATTGTAGAAATCATTTTAAGTTCATTATATCTGGATTAATAACTAATAATTAATTGATACTAGCTAGCAAAATATTGTGAAGTATTTGTACAGTAAGTGCCACTTAATATTTAGTTAGTCATTTCACTTGCTTGTTACTTTAAATAAAATTGCATAACTTAAGCATGGGATGTATAGCTAGTACATCAAACATAGATTCAATTTACAATTATTTATATAGCACTTTATAATTGGGAAATCAGATTTCTAAAAATGCCACCAGAATTTAAAAATGATGTCTGTGTATGAGTATGATACCTGATATAGATTATTGCAGGTTGCTCTTGTAGCCTGTTAAAATTCCTGTAGTGTGCTCTTTTTCTATTCTTCTCGTCTGCTTAAATGAAGCAATACACTTTAGTTTTAGCAGATACATTTGTTTCTCTGTGGGGTGAAAAGCAGCACTGGAGCAAATGGAAAAGAGAATGGGAAAGAATAATGGGACTTTAAAGCTTCATTTGATTATGTGAATGTTGATACATGTTGCAGGGAGGGAATGAGTTAATGTTAACAGGGTAGCAATACTCATAGACTGTAACTCCCATCAACAAAAATATTAACTAATTTATAAAAATATTTTGCAGGTAAATAAATATGATAGGTGTGAGGTATTTTTCATACTGGATAAATTCACAGATGGAATGACAATGGGCTTGTGCTCCCCTTGAAATATAAAAAAAAAATAAGATAAAATGTTCAGGAAGTGTACATCTGCAAAAGAGTGTTAACTATTTGTTAAACTCTCATGTTCAAGAACTCACAATGTACATAAGAGACAAAAATGTGGTTTGGCTTGCAGTTATAAAAAAATATAATCTTCATAATAAAACCTCAAAAACTATGGAGGGATAGTCAATGTACTGGGATAACTATACAGATTATTTATGTGTTTCAATAGCAAAATGTTTGCAAAAACCCTGTTTAAAGGGACACTATAGTCAACAGAACCACTACAGCTTAATGTAGTTATTTTGGTGCATAAAGCCTGTCCCTGCAGGATTTTCAATGCAAATGCCACCTCAGACGACCACAGTATTCCTATCTCAGTGCGGCACAGTAATCTGCATGGAGACGTTGACGTCCTCATGTGGTTTTTGCTGGTCAGGAGGAATATAAAGTCCGCTCTATAGTTGATTCCAGGTTTTCTCTAGGTTTATTGCAATATCTAGTTGACTGGAAGGGTTATGGGCCTGACGATTATTCTTGGGTGCCTGTTACTGAAGTTCATGCTGGTCGCATGGTTTGTTCGTTTTAACGCCAGGTTTCCTCTCAAGCCTGGTCCTGACAGCCCAGTGGGCGGTCTTCAAATAGGGTGTATTGTCCTCCTGTCTCTTCCGTCGGCATGACACCACATACCCAGAGTGGCCGAACCAACAGAGATGAATTGTACTTACCTGGGTCATGGCGGATTGCCACC